TGAAAAATATTGCGTTATCCGTGATTGCCCTAGATTTTCATCACGCCTAGACACTATTGTCTCGACTGTCGATAAGTTGTCCTAAGACCATTGTCTCCAATGGACATTACTCCAAGTGGGGTACGAAAAATTGCAACGCTGCACGAACACACATGTCAAGACTTACGAGTGTAGCTATCACCCGTTACAGTTCTTTCTTGTTTTTTCTTTCTTTTTCTTATCGTTTATTGAGAACTTTGTTAATTTTGCTTTTTGAAAATTATGTCAATTATTCTGAACCATAATCAATTAATCCACACGCTACTTTTCTCCCTTTAGGATCGATATGTATATATATATATATATATATATATATATATATATATATATAGTTTTATTTTTCAAGTTGTGGTAATTGTGTAGAGGGAGAGAGAGTCATAGAGTTTAGGATTGTGCACACAGGAATTGACGGAGACAAAATCTTAGTTGAAACTCTAGCCAGCCTCTCCCTCAGACCAAGAGTTGGGCCGTTTTTGTAACGTTTGGATACCAACGCAGCTTCACGTGGTTACGCCTTTTTCCGCTATGTTGCCAATGCAACTACTTATGGCCATGTCCCTTCCGGAGCCATGTTCCCATTCAACTTCGTGTGGCTACGCCTCTTCTGGCATACGCCCACGCAAGCATGCATTTCATTCCGTTCAGGAGACCCCTGCGCCCTATTTATTCAAGGATCAGGAGTCTGTGCGTCCTCTTTATTTTAGCCATTCCCTGTTTATGCTATAACCCATTCCGATTTTCGCTCAATCTCTGATGCAGCGGAAGTAAGGCCAAAGGTCTTCCTCAACCGAGAGCTGCGACCAATAAAAATGAACGGTACTAATATAGATAAATGTCAAAATCCGATTGATATTGTTGTAATGCTGCCTTTATTCAAAATATTAGAAAGGGCGTAGTTAGAGAGAGTATCGTCGGAACAGAAGACAAGGTAGGGAAACAAAGAACAGGTTTTATTAAATACTCATATAGACAAAGATGGACAAAAAAAACTTAAATCAACTATTCAAATCCTACGCTAATGTGGTTTCTTGTCCTGTTTATATGTCGGACCAATTCATTGCCACAATTGTAGGGAAGAGAAGGAAGTTCGCTGAGCCCTACTCTGCAAAAGACATGTAGTCACGTGAAAAGGGTCACGTGCTATCAGTATATAGACAACGCCAATTTACAAAATGTGTCTCACGTCATTCTTTGCCATCACTTGCTGAACGATTAGGTTCTTTAAGAAACTTGCCAGTTTTAAAATGGGCGAATCCAATGATTTTTAATGGTAATGTATGTTCTGCTTGATCACACACACACACACACACACACACACACACACACACACACACACACACACACACACACACACACACATATATATATATATATATATATGTAAGTAACGAAAATCTTTTCGTTTCACCTTTTGAAAGTGAAGTCTGAAGATCCAGAGAAAAATAAAATTCTCTGTTGAATTAAATTATTACAAATGGATCCTTAAAGTAGTCTGTTTTTTATATATATATCTATCTGTGTGTGTGTGTGTGTGTGTGTGTGTGTGTGTGTGTGTGTGTGTGTATGTACTTAATATATATATACATTTAATTGATTTGGGTTGCAGCATTTAACATTTTTGCGTTTTGGTGATTTGCTACCGCAGTTTGAAAAAAGTTGGTATTGTCCTAAAGCAATTTGCTCCCGAACTGGTTCAAGTCCTCGCCAAAATATTGCCTCGCTGCTTCCTGCTTTCCACCTTGTTGGAAGTCCTCCTCTGTAGTTCCTGTTTTTAAGAACACTGAAGAACCTTCTGACCCCTCTAACTATCGTCTTATTAGTTTCCTACGCTTTTTCAGCAAAGTATTCCAGGGTTTAATCAATGCCGAAGTGGTTAAGCATCTTACCTCCTACGACCAACTCTGACAAACAATATGGATTCCGTTTTGCCCAGTCTACAGCTGACGTGCTTAGAGCCATCACTGAAAATGTATATTAAGCTTTTGATAATAACGGCGAATCTCGATCTGTGGCTCTAAATGTTTCAAAGGCGTTTGACAGGATTTGGCTAAGCTACAAGGCTACGTTATTACAGGACGATTGTTTGATTTAATCCAATCTTTTCTATCAAATGATGAAATGAAGGTCGTTCTGAATGGGTTCTCTTCCATTTCATTTCACACGAATGCGGTTATCTCCCAAGGCTCTATCCTGGGTCTTACGTTGTTTCTGATCTTCATCAATGATCTTTCTGGTGTCATCAATTTTCAAGCAGGCATTTATGCTGATGACGTTATCATTTACTCCTGTCTCAATAGGAAAAACCGCCAGAGCTGACGAAGTTAACCTGGCAACCGCTATTGAAAAGGACTTCCAATCTGTGGTTAACTGGGGCTGGAAATGATACGATGTGAATTTTCTACAAATATTTTCATGGCAACTTCTCTGACGAGCTTTTTTCACTGGTTCCTCGGCTACATGAATTTAAGCGTGCTATCAGATCGCCATCTAGATCCGACTCTTTTACAGATGAAAGAATTAAATAGTTAAATTCTACTACAACAGTTTCTTTTCGAGCACTTCCCGACAGTGTAACTCTCTTCCGCTTACTTGCTTCCCTGATAAGTACAATCTTCAAAAATTTAGATGTAGCGTCAATTGCTATCTTCTGTTGTTTTGATCCCCGTTTATCTTTTATCCTTTCCTCAATCCTCCCTATAACCATCTTTTCTCTCACTTTCATTCTCTGTAACCTCCTGCGTACTAGTGACACTCTCGCCTTGCTTGGGGTTAAATAATAAAAAAGAAAAGAAAAAGAAAACATGCATGGTCATTTTCTCTTTCTCTATCTCTCTTAATGTATCTCTCTCTCGCTCTCTTTCAAACACAAACACACACGCGCGAGCGCCCGGACATACTGTGTCCAAAAGCAAATGTAAGTAAAAAATTGTGCCTGAGTTCAGCTTTTCTTCTCCTAGATTAGTTGTAACTTTCAGGCAAGATAGCCCGGTCGGCACTGCTTTTAACATACAGGTGGATGGTGGGCAGTTGGATTTTTAGCCTTCCTAATTGTATTTGTACGAAAATCAACGGGATCAATTCGGGCGAAATTCGAACTGCATTCGTTGATTTCTCTTTCCGAGTCGATAAGCGCTGCAGTATTCCCCTATTGAACTGGAAATATTTGATACTTTTGCAAGTTTTTTCCCAAAATTTGCATTACCTAGTGATATAAATGGTGTGGCATTATCACGACATCATTTGTTGTTAGTCATGTGCCTTGAAAGGAGATTTGCCAACCATAGTCGTTTCCGTCTTTACGTTAGTTCCTACGACTTTTATTTTGAGAATAATATTTGTTATGGGACCTTACCCATAATAACATAATGGACTATGCCATACGTAATAAATACTGCGCCTCAAGAGGAAGCAGCCATCAGAAGTCCGTCAGGAGTCTGTCAGTCAATCAGAGCGAGTCAGTCAGTCGAGTCAGAGGGAGTCCGAAACAGAGTCGCGTTCAGACAATTACTACTAAACCTGATTGTTCGTACTAACACTTTCTACTTCTCTGTATATATTCCTGTTTGTAATATATCTGTGTTATTCCATATCCGTGTTCGAGTTCTTTATTGGTTCTACCTTGGACCATCACAGTGGCACAAGGACCTGGACATAACAATATTAAACTGTCTCTGCCAGTTACTGAAATTCAAATGATACGCCTTTTCACCAGGAATAATTACTTAAATAGCAGAGCATATGATTTGTATGGACTGATTTTATTGTCCTTAGTAAGGAAATTTTACCGACTATTTCTCAGTCAAGGGGAAAGTGAGGAAATGATTAATTCCAGTTCCTAGCAGTTTCAGGCCCGTGTGTTTGCTACGAGGCAAAAATCTTCAGTAAACGAAATGCAGTGAGAAACTTCTTTTGACAAGTAATTCTTCGCCCAATCGTTAATTCATGGTCGAATAAAAAAAAAAAAATCAATCCACTGCATCAATTCTTTATTATTTTTATGAACATTGATTTGAAAAAACGATACTTACACGCGATCGTCAGCTGACCCTATAACACTTTTTGTTTAAACAGTGAGGTTTTTCGAACGTTGGCGAATCTTCCCACCTCTCTATATATACTTATACAGTAGCGAGCATAAAGAATAATTACTAAATTTTATGAATTTATTTAATCGTTCTGATGTTTTTGATCATCTATTTTTTTTCGAATGTTATATAATTATTCTTATAACTTTATCAAAATAAGTGTATTTATCTTTATATTTTGGAATTATATAATTTACCTTTTTATCCTTATTTTTCCTTGATAAAATGTTCTTTGAAGCTTTAAAATAAAAAGTTATTTCACATTTAGAGTTTTTCTTAACATCGTTCTGATCTTTATTCTTCCTACTGTATATCGTACTTCAGAAACACGAAAGATCTTTAAGAACACTCAGGACAGCCTACTAGTAAGGAGATTCTTTTTTTCCACCGACATAATCCATAAAATAAAATTATTTTATCTTCTTCACCCACAATGTAATATATAGGTCATTTGCAACAATTTTATTTTCTGCGATATCATCAAAAAAGAAAGGTGCTATCATTTTCCTTTTAAGACTTATCTTGCATCGAAACCTTTAGAAGATATACACTCGTGTATAGATATCAGTTCTAAGGCCAAATACACTTGGTATTTCGCGTAACATCAATAGGTTTTTGTTAAAGTTTGACATCAGAGAGGGAAACCAAATTAAAGCTCTTCTTGTGACTGACGAATAAACTATCATCTTCAACGCCACTGAATACTGACATTCATAGTTTACTCATTGTTCAATTTGTAAATGTTGTTTACAAACATATTACTGGGAAAGTAGATATCTGTAATAATTATTATGAAAGCACAAGGAATATATTCATTCTTTTTGTTAGCTATTTCACATCAACCTATGATTTCTAATCTACTTTCGTGATTTACCCATGTTGAAATCGCGTAGTAATCGCAAAACTGTTGTGGTATGTGTATGTTCAAATCACGTCGGCGGTTCACCATGTGCTGGCGGACTGCTCCGAGTAAAAAAAAAAACAGTCTCAGCAGTGGCAAACATTATTTGCATCTATCTGGGTTTGGTTTGGTTTGATTTGTTTTACACCGTATCAAACTCAATGGGTTATTTAATGTCGACTAGATTTTTATTGCGGGTAATATTTTTTATCTATCTATCTATCTATCTATCTATCTATCTATCTATCTATCTATCTGCCAATGTCTTTTCATTATCTATCTATCTATCTATCTATCTATCTATCTGCCGGCCTATGTCTGTTCATTATCTATCTATCTATCTATCTATCTATCTATCTATCTATCTATCTATCTACCTGCCTATGCCTGTGTTATAGTGGAACACACCTATTCTATAGTTAATAAACTCTCCCACCTATAATAATTAGGGGTAGTAGGAGTCGCTCAAGGGTTCGGTCAGTCAGTCGATGCCGGATGACCGTTAGTCGGATACTAAAATATCAGCGACCATAACTAGATTTCTCTGCGTCATTACCTATTATATCAAGTTCCTAACGTTTTGTACGTCGAACCTATTTTAAGACCGACTTAGTACAAATACAAGCCTCCACTGTGAAACCACTCCATAAGTCTGTTCATTATCTATCTATCTATCTATCTATCTATCTGTCTGTCTGTATGCCTATGTCTGTTCATTATCTATCTATCTATGTCTTTCTCTCTGTATATATATATATATATATATATATATATATATATATATATATATATATATTCAAAGAAGTCTGATTAAAGAGAACCTACAAGGTCTGTTTGTTTCACTTTTTATTATTTTTTCCATTTTTTTGAATAAGGTGTTGAGTTTATCCCTAACTTCGAGCAACTAGCATCTACCTCCTGATGAGACTTTAATGGTTAAAACAATTGGAGCAGGTGTGTAAGGGATACCTAATTTTTTAATATTTAAAGCTCTGCACGTTCAATTTTTGGATTGTGTATACAACACTTTTTAATACAACCGTTTTTAAAATGTCCATACGTACAAACAAAAACTGACACATTTACTTATCTATGATGATGTGTCGTGATGTGCTTATAATGAACGATAAGATGAAACTTGTATTAAAATAATCTAAGAGGCTGTATTTCTGTGTAGTATTGGCAAAGATAGTGCGAGAATATCTATCTATCTATCTATATATCTATCTATCTCAGTATATATTGGTTTAGTTTGGTTTGTTTTACGGCACATCGATCTCAATGGGTTATTTAATGTCGACGATGTTTTTATAACGGGTAATATTTTTTTCAAAAATATATTGTTGGTAATATTTTCTTAGGAAACGTATTCCTGGTTATATTTTTTTTCAAAACTGTACTGCTGGTAATTTTTAAAAAAAATGTATTGCTGGTAATATTTTATTTTTTTCAAAAATTTATTCCTGGTAAAAAATTTTTCAAAGAAATATTGCTGGTATTAAAACTTATTTTTATACTTTCATAGTGTTTTGATCCCTTTTTGAGGTGAGGAAGAGAGTTAACTATTTACCTATAGTTGGAACCCTAACTGGTGCTACCACCCTGGGTCAAGTTGGACCTAGGAACATCAGCAGTTAAGAGGTGGTTCCATGCTCCTCAAAACGTCCTGATCAGAGGGCTTGCTGTTGGATGTAGTTTATCGTCTTACCCAGGACGGTCGCATCTATTTAAATGACGAGTGTAGGGAAATCGAATAGATTTCTACAAGGCAATATCTTATGTATATTTTTTAATCATTTCACCCCAAACAAGGAAATAAAACCACTAAGACGTAAGGAGTTACTGAATGTGAAAGGCTATGAGCAAAAGAAAACGTTATTAAGGAGAGAGAACAATAAGAAACAAGAATTAAGAAGATTAGGATATAGCGAGTGAAATTGCATTTAAATTTTTAAAGTTGACTGGAAAGCAGGAAGAGAGTTCCACGAGACAAGAGCGAGAGAAGGAACTGCTAGCATAGAACTTACGGATGCATCTAGTCATTTCAACTATAAAATGATGAGGACTTCCCGCCAGTCTTGAAGTACGCTTAATTTTATAAATCCGGTTACCAAAGAGGCAATTTCAACAGAACAATTATCAAGAAAATATTTACAGAAATGGCAGAGGGAAGCCACGTTACGGCGATGGGAAAGTGACTGAAGCTGAAATGCCAGATCAGGACCAATAACATTGCATATTCTTCTTTGCGTTTTATCAAGTATTTCTAAATATATAGCAGGAATATCAAGCTATGTGTGGCGGCAATATTCAAAGTAAAGATGGATGGTAGACGTATAAACATGTAAGATTGCTTCTGACGACATAGTGAATTAACTTTCCTAGCCGAAGACCTACCAATAGGTTTATTATAGTCTTTCTAGTTCATGTAAGCCGAAAACTGTAGTCAGTTTGGTCGTGCCTAAACTAAAATTCCTGTTCAGAGGTTGATGTCAGAGATTTACTTCCACAATGAAAAAACAAATCGCAAGTCAAAACTTGAAAATCAGGGAGAGAAAGAAATGTTGAAATCTCGCTTCGCAGGTCCTATGTCTCAAATGTCAATGCACTTAAACAGTTAAAGAAATAACACATTCGCCGGCGAACGCAGTAGCAAAATAAACGACCCCCCAATTCGAGGACACCAACTAAGAGAGGACACACAATATTAGCATATCTGAGATGCTTTTATGGCTACTCCTGCGGCTGACTTATTTTTAATTTGAACATTTTTGTGTACCTAGTTAATGTAAGTGTTGTTCCTTGCCTGTTCCCGGCTGCCTCTTTGGTTATAATCCAAGTTGAGATTCCCAACCTTCCCAGTTTGTTTTGAGCCCGTTTTTCATCTCGACTGGGTCAGCTTTTACATTTCCCATGTCCGTATATATTTTCTCCTTTTCAACTCCTTTAGCGAGAGAGCTTCTTGATTTTGTCCAATGGGCAGAATACAGCGGCCTATCGTTTTTGAGGGTTAGACGGGCCCTACTAACATCAGTTATGTTTAGTTTACTTTATGTTCATGTTTAATTTGTTTTGGGGTTCACTCACTCCCCTCTCATTCTATTCATTCATAAATTTTTAAGTATAATTTTTATAATCATTAGATTTTTATAGCATGGGGTGCGTTTTGTAGGTCCCCCTTGAGAAGATGAGGTATTATGGAGGATTGATTGGTGACGGGCGAGTTTTTATACTGAATGGGAAAATTGTAATGCGTGAATCGGATTAGCTAGGTATAAGATAGTTAGTGACGACCAGCCTCAACCCTCCCCATTTTCGGCCTTGTGCCATAATTGTGCATTTTCACAATAAATCTCAATTTGGACATTCCGTCTTCGGCATATTATGCAGAATACGTGACATTTTTCTTGGTAAGTAACACTTTGTCAAAACACTTTCCATCGTAGAATGCACGCGACACGCTGTCGCATGGTTTGACGAGGTAATTCGCCGTTTTCTTCACTAGCCCAAGAAGTTGAAAGGAATCCCGGAAGTTAGCATTCCCCATGTTGATGGACAGCACAAAGTGTTCTTTCAGACAATTAAAAGTGAGCAGTTTTCTTTTGGAGGTGTTTAAATTAACAAGCCATTCATTGCCCCAATTAATAACAGACTGTAGGTCATTTCTGAGCACAGTTGCCAATTTGACTATTGTAATTTTTGTTTTAATATGACTTTTAACAAAGGAGAGATTATAGACGAGTATGAATTTAAGAGGAAGATGACGTGTGTGTGTGAACGTTCAGGAAGGTCCCCGTTGGCGTTGTAATTTCTACTGCACGCTAGGAGGAAAAAGAGAGAAAAGAGAACGAAGTGTCCCCATTTTATAGCTGCTTGACAGCGCCACCTATCGACTTCTTGGTGAGACTAAGTAGGGTAACCCACACTATTCTGCCATGCAAGAATGTTTCTCACGGTAAACTCGTATTGCAAGGACAAACACCCGAATGTCTCACGGTTGACTCGGCTAATAGCGTCGTATTCTTTGTAAATAAACAGTTAAGTGTTTTTTGTTTCTTTTTTTGTCTCGTGCACGTTCCTGTTAAAAAAATCGGGAAAATAGAAAGTGTCTCGCCGTATTGCAAGGAATCTGGTTAGCTGGAGCACGTTGTCATCTGATGCAAGCTAGTTACTCCTGGACATAATTACTAAAGTAGTGACTTCGATTCTTACCGGGTGCACCAAATAAAGCCTGAAGTACACTAAGAACGGGAAGGATGCATCTGCTGAAATAATGAAAACAATTCATCGAAGAATTTCAGACAATGCAGGGTTGATTGATTTGCGTTTACGTTTTGTTTTGTTTTGTTTTACGGCATATCAACTTCAATGGGTCATTTAATGCCGACAACTTGTTTTTTTCCTGGTAATATTTTTATTTTGTCAAAAATCTATTTCTGGAAATATTTTTTACTCAAAAACGTATTGCTCTTAATATATTTTTTTTTCAAAAATGTCTTACTGGTATTATTTTTTTCAAAAACGTATTGATGGTAATAATTTTTTGCCTTCAAAAATTTACTTCTGGTAATAATTTTTTACAAAGTATTTCTGGTATAAAAACCGATTTTTATACTTTCACCGGGACGTGGATGTAGTTTATTATCATACCCAAGACGCTTGTGTTTACGGCTTACCAATTTACTCCAGGTTATTTAAGTTAGAAAATCTAATTAAATTGTAACATTATTTGGGGTGGGGTAGCGGTACTAATGACTCACCGAACACAAGACCGACTAAATAAACCCGTAATTATTTGTTTGATTTTACATATAAACTCCACTCTATCCTTTTCATCCTGTGTTTTCACGATGCGTTCTTCAGCCTTCCTCAGTTGTAGAAAACCTTCAGCAGATAACGATTGATATTGCCTTCACATTTTGGAAGATCAAATTGAAAGAAACCGAAAGAGAATTCCACATTCCAGAAATGCAAGAGAAGAAACTGCTAGCATAGAAATTACGGTTCCATCTAGCTGTAAAAGAATGAGACCTATCCGCCAATCTAGTACTCCGCTTAAATTCCAAAAGTACCGTAGAGGAAAGTTCATCAGAACAATAAACATGAAAGTATTTATAGAAAAGGAACACGGAAGCTACGTCATGGCGGTGGGAAAGTCGATATACCAGGTCAGGACCAATAATGTTGCAGACTCTTTTTTAGATTTTATCAAGAATCTCTAAATATATAGCAGGAGCACCAAACCAGATGCAAACAAGTTACTCCTGCGCATAACTACTGTCGTAGTGAGTTTGATCTTTACTGAGTGCAACAAATAAAGACTGAAATGCTCTAAGATTCAAGAAGGATGCACCTGCTGAAATAATAAAAACTATTAATCTCATACATTCAGACAATACATAATTAATTGATTTGTGATTTACGGTTTATCAACCTACTTCATGTTATTTGAAGTCAGACAATCTAATTAAATTGTAAGATTGGGGAGAGATAATAATGACTTACTGAACACAAGACCGACTAATTAACCCATAGCTGAGGGGAGAAGAGATGGATTTATACTTTTTAACAAGGATATTTGCATCTAAGTGAATATAACGAATCCTGTCGGAATTGAAACTTGACTTTCTCATTTCGAATTCCGAGCCGTTATCCATTACACCAGCCGCACATCCACGCTTACTCTACCTGGGATTCCGAAGCGGTCATCCATTTAGCTACTGATCAGAACTCGACCTTGCTTTGGCGATAGTAAGATAACCTATGTTACAACGTTATTTGGCCCTAGGCCAGACAATGCAGAAAGATCAAAGAATGAATTGGAATATTGTGCTGAAAGCAGTAACAATGATGGCCACAACGCAATATATATATATATATATATATATATATATATATATATATATATATATATAGTTCTTTTACCTGAAAAAAAAAAATAGAAACTTCAGTGTAATTACTTATAGATCGATTAAGGCGTATCAATTATCGATTAATCCGAAATCGAAATCCATCGGTCGACTCTCAATCGGTAGTTCACTTAAGCTTCGAAAAACAAAAGTCAATGTAAGCTGCCACCCTCTAGGATCAAAGTACCAACTCGAAGAAGACACGCCTTTCCTATAACGATTCCTATCAATAGTTTGAGCGGCTAAAGTTAATTAGCACATTCAAGGCTTCGGAACAGAGAATCAGTGGGGAGGAACAAAAAAATGACCTGAAAAAGATACCCCGGAAACTGCCGACCGGAA